GCCCAGGATGCGTCTATCCCAGCCTGACTTGCGGATGTTGATCGCGCTTAAACAACTTGCGCATGACGGCCTTGGTGATAATGTTGGTCGTGTTGGCAGCATTATATTCTATTTTCCGCCAGTAAAGATCCTCCCTAAATGTTACATACTGGACCTTTAAAAATAATAAGGATTGCTTGAGGATAATAAAGATGTTATTCATTTACCACATACACAAAAATTATTGGTGATTTCCACCAAAATACTCCAATGAAAAGTTCAGTGTCAAAATAAGAGGAACTGACAACATCTTTATGGATTATCAGAAGTAGATTTGTGTGGAATAGTATATAAGCTTTCTTAATAGCCTCAGGCCTATTTTGTTTAATACTGTGATAATGTTGTTAAGCATCAATTATGATACAACAGAAACATAATTTTATCATAAAAAACAAACACTGAAGTTCTCCTGAATGTGCCAGAGTCCAACAACTGTTGACAATTATTAAAACATTTATTTGCTTGTCTTTTATTTCCTTGTTTTTCTGCCCTGGTTAAATTTTACCACCCTGTTTAGCATTGAGCTAAACAGTAATTTAGCATTTAGATAAAAAAGCTAAACTAATACAATGGTAGTCCAGTGGAAAAGAGTTGTAAAGTCAGAAAACTATGCTTTTTTGTTATAGAGCTATATTTACCTAAAGTTTACTAATATTAGCAATCATGAGCTATAGTTATAGCAGAGTGTAGCAGCAAAACTCCTGTTGAATTGAGCAACAGTGTGATTCATTGCGGACACACCCCTACATTTGACCAATGATGTCACACCAACAGATATCACACTTTCTCTGAAGCGTATAAAAGACAGTGGTTTTTCAACTGTTCCTGCAAGATTATTGATAGCGTCCAACAGTGCCGATCAGATACTCCAAAGACTTAAATAGAGACCATGAAGCTCTGACACCAACATGATCCTGTTTCCTCTTGTTTGGTCTGACTCTGGGGCTGTGTCTCCATCACTTGTCCATCCAGTGAAGCTACAGCGTGGCAGCTGTCCCATGTTCTGGTGGAGCTTCAACGGCCGCTGCTACAAGTACGTTGCCACACGTATGTCCTGGGCTGATGCAGAACTCCACTGTAGGTCACAGAGAGCCAACCTGGTGGCTATCCACAGTCTGCAGGAACATAACTTTGTCAATTCCCTGATCAAGAACTTTGACCCTGCCCAGCAGTGGACCTGGATTGGACTCAGTGACATTCATAAAGAAGGCAGATGGATGTGGTCTGATGGGTCTGCACTTGACTTTGTCTTGTGGAGGAAAGGAGAGCCCAACAACCATAAAGGACGTGAACACTGTGGACACACAAACCTTGGCTCAGAGCTGCAATGGAATGATGAAAAATGTCCTGGGCAACTCGCTTTTGTTTGTGCATCTCGCATATGTCCTTAGCAACTGAGAAGGTTGTTTCTGATTCAACTCGGTAAATTTCCACCAGTTGCTGTTCAGTAATTCATTGAGATGGCACAATACAGATACAAATGTGCAAGTGTATGTATAGAAGTCTTTCCATTAACCTTCATATTCATGAATGTTGAATGAATGTTTGATATCTTTCTTTTTTCCTTAGTGACAGATTAAAAAATGTATAGATTTAGAATTAAAGTAATTTAACTTTTAACAATAAAGTTTAGAAAATATGCTTTCTCAAGGTGTAACTATGAATAAAACATTTTTTATGTTTATAATGTTGTTATGTCTTTTATACAAATTCAAACTGAATTTTGATTTCCATGAAAATATTTATTTTCAAATCTTCAAACGAACCACTTCCTGGACCTTGTTTCAGTAATGTGCAATGACTACAGTGACATCTGCGTTTAGATCTCTTGGAAAGACATCAGTAAAAAGCATTGGACATTGTGGTCGACAGCACACATTTGATGACTGTGATGCTCATGCATCAGTGTGATAGGTAGTGGCAATCCAAATAAAATGTATTACAGGAGAGACTGAACTATATGCAGACAAAGTGATTACTAACCTCAGCCTTAATGTCAACAGGCCTTCGGTTCCTTGGTCAGGAATAAAATTAATTTTGATATGCCAGAATAGATGGGTAAGAAATAGATATAAAGAATTAACTATTAACCTGACTACTTCATCCATGTAGTAACAAATACAGACTATATGCTTCAAATGTTATGTACAGTAGTGGGCCTGTAATTGGTAAGACTCCATCTATATGTGGTTCTCACTGCTAACTAAAAGCTCAGTGCAAAATGAAAAGGCACTGACAACCCTCTGAGTGATACTAATCTTTTCTTCGCATGAAAATGTGTACTATTTAAATTGATCTATAAAAAACACAGTGGTATCAAGAATTGACCCAGAAGTGGTTTTCCAGTGAAAACCTCAGTGCCAAAATAAAAGGAGTTAAAACAATTCCCTGGAAATTTCTGTGGAATAGATATTCCTTTCTTTCTTTCTTGTCTTTCTTTTCTTTTCTTTCTTTTTTCTTTCTTTTCTTTCTTTCTTTCTTTCTTTATTCTTTTTTTTCTTTCTTTCTCCTCCCTGGTAATATCTTTAACCTATTTTATTTGAGATAATGCTGAATAAGCCATTTGTTTTTGGATGCTCTCCTTGAACGTGCCACAGTTAACTAGTGAATTATTTCCTTTCTTCTATATCACAGGTAAAACGGTAAAAATAAAATATGTTTCTAAATAATGATTTTAGGTGAGAAATAGGCAATAGCAGTAACAGAATTATTGATTCAGATCTGATGAAGCACTGCCTATGCCAATGGAG